GTATGTATGTATGTATGTATATGCCCTTGTATAATCTTGTATATGCATATGATGTGCATGTCATATGCTTATGTATATGCACATGCATATGTGCCTGTATCTGCATAGGAATATGTATGAAGATATGACGTGTATACATGTATGTATGTATGTATGCAGGTATGTATGTATGTATGTATGTATGTATGTATGTATGTACGTATGTGTATACGTATGTGCATGTGCATGTATATGTATATGTAGATGTAGATGTATATGTATATGTATATACGTATGTATGTGTATATGTATATGTATATGTATGTGCATATATGTATATGTATATGTATATGTATATGTATATGTATATGTATATGTACATGTATGTGTGTATGTATGTATATATATATATATGCACATGCACTTGTATGCGCCATCGCATAAGCACATGCATTTTGCAGATGCGTAGGTATGTTTACACATACACGAACACCTACTCACATTCGCATGTGGATTTGGTGTTGGATGCTTCGGGGCGATTTAATAGGCAGTTGGATGGCTGTACAGGCTGGCAAAGGCACAAGATAATTCAGTCGGCTTGCGGTGACACCCTCCAGGAAGGGCTGTGGGCTTTCAGTGCGAAGATGGTGCAAGAGATGCCCGACTGTCGCTAGCTGTGCAGGCGCGTAGCCAACGAAGGCTCTAGGCATTGAGTTTGGGGTGTTTCGGCTTGGGAAGTTTTTCCCTGGGGCTTCTTGTTGAAGCGATTTGTCGGCAGCTCTGCGAGGCTCTCGGAATGCTCGATTCCTGGACTCCTCCGGCTCGGAGGCAGCTGTCATCCCTTGATTTGGAAGCTTGAAACAAAAGACAGCCTTTGAAGCCTCGAGAGTTATACAATATCAGGGATGCTCCAGTTCTCGTCGGACTCGGACAGCTAGGTGCCTTTGGGCAGCCTGTTCGGCCGCGAGGCCAGGTCGCTCTTGCAATCCCAGCGGTCTCAAACAATAGCCACGTGCTCCTTGAGACAGTGAGCAGCAGCAGCCGCAGCAGCTGGCACAGCCCTGTTTCGAATGCAATGCCAACAGAGCCATCGCCTTCCTGTTGAACCAATTTGGACCGCGCATGCACTTCAGCACTTCTCCGCAGGACGGTCGCGCTCGTCTCACACAAAGTCGACTCGCACGAGGCGGGTGCCCTGTGATCTTCGAGACCCCAATCCCAAGTTTTCAACTCCGGCACTCCGAAACCTGCGAAGCTCCGACGTTCGGTAAACCGGCTCTTAGCCAGATGTCAGTTAGCAGCTCTGATCCTGGCTTTCGAACAGCAGTCAACCGTCTTGTAGGAGGGGATGCCGCACCTGCTTGGTCCTCCATGGAAGAGGAGGCTTCGTCCCGTGTGCTTGACTCCGGCGGCCTACACAACTCTCACATCGCTGCTACGAGCATGCTGTACTGCGGGTTGCTTTTGTTGCTGTTAACCTGCCGTGCTCCCCAGCAAGGATGTGCTTTCACACATCTAAAGCAGCTCAAGATGGATGCATCTTAGATCTGGAGGCACAACAGCGCTGGAATCGAGCGTTGCAGCTGTCGCCCAAGGCCTGTTCGTGGAATCCCTGCAAGGGGCCTTTCAGCTCAGTTCCCAGCTCTGCCCCTCAAGTGTCGGCTGACAGGCGACCTCTGACAGCCTCACCAGGTCGGCCAGGGGGTTCTGACACTCGTTGATTTCAGCCCCCTCCTCCCGCCTCCCGCCCCAAGTCCACGGAAGCATTTCAGATGGCTGTCACCAGAGGAGCAGTTCCAGGTCTTGGCCGCAGCAAGTCTTGGTCGCCCAGCTTTTCGGCTCCATATTCTGAGAACCAAGCCATGACAAGTCACGTGAACAGCAGCAACAACCTGTATTAGAATGTTTCAGCATACTCCAGGGACCCACGAAGGTTTCAGCATCCCGAGAGTTTCTTGGCTGCTATAACATGCATGGCTTACACAGTTGGGTGCAAGCACTGGCTACAACGATGCAAGTGTAAGACGAAGCGAAGACGAAGCGAGGATGCCGCCCCCGACGCTCTCGTGTTTGGACCATCTGTCAGGAGATAACTAACACAAGCGTCAACAGCCTGTCGGTAACGACCCAGAAATAGAAGGTCGACAAGGGCTTCTGGAAAGTTGACAGGCTAGCCAGCTGAGGGAATGCAGAAGCCATCAACACTGACGCAATACGTCGCGCAGCAATGATCGCGCTAGATCCCGGCGACGTGCCATGCTACATGTTGCTGCAGCTCGGCATTGAAGTGTTTTTTTGGGTGACCGTATGTGATCCGCCGAAGCCTGTCCTTAATTGTGTTTCGACTGTTGCTATGTCCCTGTTTCTGGCTGAGGAAGGGGATGCAGATCCCGCGCGTCATCGGCAAGGCTGGCGCTATCATCAAAGAGCTCCGGCAAGAGAGCCTTGGCCGATATTGGCAGGGCTGACTCTCGGGGGTTTGTTTATTTGGGTCTTCTGTTTCTTTCAGTCGCAGCTGACCTGAGTCTGCTCGCAACTACGAAGCCTCAGATCCCACAATGGTTCCCTCTTAGGAGTGGGGCGAGCGTGAACATCTTGGACAAGCAGCTGCCCGAGGCTCTGGTTTGGTTTTCCCAAGGCTGCCCGACGGCCCGAGCCTCCGATGTAGCCGCGCTGTAGCCGCACTGTTGCCCTTAGATGCACCGTGAGTGCACCTCTGCTGCAAATGCAGCCGAAGCTGAGCCAGACGGCTCGCTTCGCTCAAAGTTCGCGACGTTGGGGGTTGGCTGCAGCAGGTGCTCCAGCGTCTGCAGTTCCACGTGGCCTTCGTCAAAGGAAGCCATGAGGCTATGCATACCGCTGTGGTCGGTGGCTTGTCTTCATGAGGGCTCCCCAACCCTTACACCCTTGAACCCGTAAAATCCAATTCCTCAAGCCCGACATTCCCCAAACCCTCATTGTCTGGGGCCTTCGCCCAGGGCTGGTGCGAAATGCCCGGGGTCCGCAGGCTCTTCGAGCGCTGGAGCCCACCGAGGTCGACACGCTTTAGGTTCAGAGCTTCGAAGGATTGGGGGTTGTAGGGTTCGAGGTTTTGGGTTCAGGGTTCCAAATTCCGGTGCTCTTGGTAGACTGTACAAAGACTTTGCACAAGAAATCCTGAGCTGGTCAGCACTGTAGAGAGCTTATATGCACGCGATGGGTTTAACACTTCAGACCCGAGACCAAGCACTTTTCGCAGCTTTAAAAGTCTTGTCTGCCGTTGATGTACTTGGTTAGATTTTGACTCAACAGGTCCTGTGCACTTTGCATGTGAGTTACGCGGGTGTACATCTCCAAAAGAGGTGGCTCAATTTCAAGAAGGTCGATGTATTGCCAGTCCTGCGACATTTCTCAGGAGTCGCTTCGAGGCGACGCTCCAAACCCTCGAACCCCAAGTGTTGGACTCTGTCACCCAATGTTGCTGAGTAGGTCGGCGACACGGATGTGGCCTTCCTCGTCCCAGTCTGCACGGCTTGTACTTAGCATGTTTTCTTAGGTGAACTGGGATTAGCCTTGGGAGCACATTGCTGGCTGTTGCACATGGAATGAAGTTCGTTTCAGGATGTGGCCGGATTTCGATAAGTAGATGTCACCGAACGAATTCTTAACCTGCAAAGCCGACAAAGCCAGAGCCCCCAAACCGTCGTGGCCCAGGCGCAGTGCGAGCCATACCTGGGTGAGGACAGTGTTGAAAGAGTTCACAGGCTGTTGTGCTGGGCTTTCATCGGCTTAGGAAATGAGTAGCCGGTTGTTAGCTGGGAACCTCATTGTGCAGGGTCCTGTGCTCGAAATATCGTTGTCCTTAAACCAGATGAGCATCGTGGACATGGAGCCTCGAAGACGTGCAGTCGGCCACTTTCTGTTCAACAGCCAATCGAAAGACCACAGGGACTGTTTCTTCCATACCCCTTTGAAGGAACAGCTTACTGCCGAGACACGTTGCGCGATCCACGTGGAGGCCCGAACCGCTTCTGACCCGCCGGGTGGGTCGACCAGCCCATGTTTACTTCGTCGTGTGAGGTCTAGTAATATGGCGTTGCTTGATTGATGGGCCATGAGGTCGGAGGAGGACCTGAAGCATGCATGAAGCTCGCGAGAGCACATGAAAGGCTTAGAGGCGACCGGGGTCCGCCGTTTTGGCAAGAATCGTCACCTACAGCGTAGCAAGAAATGAGCGGTCGTGATGGTCGCCACTGGCCCGTCTGCAAGAAGAGGAAGGGAGGAGAAGGGGCTGGGTTTTATTTGACCCCTTGGGTTTTTTTCCTTGACGTGTCTCAGTTCCCTCAACTGTTTGGACCTCACCTCATGGTGCCGCCGCCGTTCTCGCTTGGACCGGGGGGCCCACCACCCCCCCATCCCGGAGGATCCGACAAAGCACTGTAAACTGTAAACCGCACAGCAATGTAGGTCCTGATGACATTAACAAAACCATAACATTATGTCGGCGAGACAAGCTAGTACTGGTGTGGTTTCTGCATCTATAAAACGTAAAATAAACGTGAATTAAAAGTCATCGACCCTAAAAAAACGTGAAAAGAAACGTAAAAAAACGTACAATAAACGTAAACAAAACGTGAAAAA